CGAAGAAGTCACTCCTTAATCTTACTAATGAATGGTTCGTCACAAGGGGTGAGATCCCTGTTGAGACAGACCGACGGTCGAACTCGGTCGACACGTCGGTTTTGCGTCGGATCCGACGCAAAACCGACGATTTTCGTCGTATTTCCTTCGATTACAACGGAATTGGGACGTCGGTCGAGTCTCGACGTCTGAATTTTGTCGAATTTCGTCGAAAATGGCCGTAGGGACGTCCAGGCGACGTAGGATGCGACGGAATCACCACGTCGACAAGCCGGCCGACGTCCCCGGCCGGTCTCGCCCGACGTCCCGTCAGTTGCGTCGGTCACGCTGTTTTGACCGACGTGGCGTCTGTCACGTCTGTTTTGTCCGATGTCGTGTGTCCGTCACGTCCGACGTCGTTAGTCTGCCCTGGCCGACGTCGGGTTGGCCACGTCGGTTACGTCGGTGGCGTCGGTTTTGCCCGTCGTCGCAAGTATGTCATGCCCGACGTCGCGCCGGACGCGTTTGACGTCCGGAAAGGGGCTGACGACGGTCATTACGGCCTCTTGGCCACCGGCTCTGGCTCGACGTCTGTCCGAACCGACGTCGGTGTCACGGCCGACGTCCTGATCATGACTACGGGTTCCTGCACTCCCTGAACAAGGTGGGCGCGATAGCTCAGTGGCTATCGCTCTGGACCTCTATCACCAAAGGTTCGAGGTTCAACTCCCCCCAGTTGCGGATCTACATTCGGCGTTCGTAAAGTTGTACGAAGGTAGTACGAAGGGAAGGAGGAAGGAGGAAAGGTAAGGGAAGACGCGAGTCGGTACCAAAAAAGTCTGAGGAAGGCCCAAGGCCCACAGAGAACCTTTTTGTGTCGGTCGTTGTCGACGGTCGGTTATAACGACGTCAGTGAGCGTCGGATTGACGTCGGGTTCGACGCATTCCCGAAGTCGTAAGGCATGTGTTCGGTCATTACACGACGTTTGTACGACGTCGGTTGTCCGTCGTGAAAACGTCGGTCTGTCCGATCAGGGATGTTTGTTTCGTCGGGTGACAACTCAATCGTCAAAGCATGTGAAATGAATATGCTGTCATATAACTGGAAAAGAGAAATTCGGTACGGAGGGAATCGAGCCTGGGATCTTCGGTGTGGAAGGAAGTGCCCTTTAACCACCCGGCTACCGAGGCTACCTGCACAGAGTCACGCTGGCATCCAGAACCTAGCCATGAGCACTTATTTGCTTCCAGGTTTGTGACAGTTATTTTGTCACCTGACAAATGTTTCATATTGACGAGTAGGTCATCACAAAAGTGACGAATAATTCGTCACAATGTGACGATTAGTTCATCTCAACCCTTGTGACAAACTATTCGTCCCGATATTTTTCGTCACATGACGATTCAGCAGTGCGTGAAGCTGGCACCGCCCAATGCAGATATAAATTTGTACTACCTCTCATCGCAGAGCGAAGCTCAGTCCAAGTCGCTGAGCGCTCAGGCGATGTCTCCGTCGTAAGTCTGTCTGTCCGTGTCTCACTCACTCGATGGACTACGAAACGGCTGCAGCTATGACGAAATGCGAGTGTGTTTAAAGATTGACATTTGTTAGGGCAGTTTCTAATACATTTTCTTTCAGGGTTTGTTTAGTTTGAAATATTCAATCGCTTAATTTGAATTCGCGCTTTGTTTGTTGGTATGTTGGCAGCACTGCAGTCGAGTGGGCGAAGAGCGCAATCGGCACCTGCGCAACTTCAAGAGTTTCTTACTCTCTCAGAAGTGATTAAACTGTTGGATTGTTAAACCGAGTGCGATATCTTTAGTTTTAGAACTCGTTCTACAAAGGTTCGCGACTTTTTGCGGTGGAAAGAAACGAAAGTGATATTTGGACAGGGACCCGTAACCCAACAAAGTTGTCGTTACAAAAAAAAAGTTTCACGTTACGTTCCTCGTACCGATATACAAACAAAAATTGATTTGTTCCGTTGAGTAACTTATAACCGGTAACGTTACGAATGTAATTTTTCAAAAATGTAACTTATTTATTATTTCGCTAGCCCTGCGAGATACTCCCAAATATCCCACGTTATTGATTTCATGGGCTATAAGCCGAGCCCCTTGCACTGAAAGACCACTAAAAAATTACTTCCTCAAATACGTTATTTGTCCAAATGCTGTGTAACGTAAATGGCTTCAATTAAGTTACGTTACAGTAACGTAACAAAATTATTTACGGGCATTTCAATTCGTGCCGGGAACTTAACGTGACGACAATACGTTAAGTTACGGGTCCCTGTATTTGGAACGGTTTACGTGTTAACGTACGTAAGTTGGAGGGGGGGGGAGATTCAGGGGAAATGTGAAAAGGTAACTAATGTTTAGGGTTCATCTTGACAAAAGAAAACGAAAATGTTTCATGCTCCAGGACGATCGGAATCAAAGTGGCAGAGATATCCCCCACAAAATTGGTACTTTGGTCGTTTTTGGCACTTATTGTCAGCCAAGGGACAAATAACTTTGCTATTTCGACTCTGATCGGCTTTGAGCATGAGACATTTCTTTTTAAATTTTGAAAAAAAAGATCCAAATCCTGTATTACATTTTCTTCTTTTGTAATTTTGTCTACCAAAACAAATCAACCATGTATTTTGATGAATAGAAACTAGACATCCCAGCAGAATCGGTTGCCTACCTACTAGGCGGACCCTCATTCATTATAGTTCTGTTCTTTATCGATGGGTACTAGGAATAAAGGCTGATGTCCCGCGGGTCTAGAACAAGCAGGACGATGTCGCGCGCTGCTTTTTAAGAAGGTCCGATGTTTCGAGAGCCGCGCCGTTTAGACATCGGACCTTTTGTTTTCAGTAAAATGCGGGCGAACCATTGGGAATATGACAAAAAAAAATTAAGACTTAAGACATAAAAGGAGGACGAATGCCCAGCCCACATTTAAGGTCTTGGGAGTTTTCGTCCTATTTCGCATGGTTTGCCCGTATTTTACTGAAAGGGAAAGGTCCGATGTCCATTCCGAAGGCGCTCAAAACACTTTCTTAAAAAGCAGCTCGCGACATCGGACTCTTTGTTATAGCCCAGCTGAAAAATCCACGCACAAATCCACCTGGGTTTCCTCTAAGATTCCCACGTGGTAAATTTTCCATGAGGTAATTGGTTACTTTCCATGTGGGTTTTTGTAAAAACCCAAATGGTTATTTCCAGAAATTCCACGTGGGGTTCTCGAGTACCGCGTGGTTCCCCACACCCATGTGGAGTTCCAAAGACAAGAGTCCTGAGTCCCAAGTGTGTCATAAGACATGAATTACAGCAACTTCCCCAAGTGAAATTTGGCTTAAAACGCCGAATATGGACTCAGATTTCCAACACGGCCATTAGTAGCAGCACAATTAAAAATTACAACTCTAGTTTCTATCACATGGCCGCGTAGTATGCAATCTATCTTCTCTATGAGTGTAGGCAATATATTTGTAGGCCACCCCAGTTTAAAGTTACGGTTGGCTATAGAAAACCCACGTGGGTAAAACAAAACCCCATGTGGAAATAAAAGAAACACACGTGGTGTATAGAAACCCCACGTGGTAGGGACAAAACCCACGTGGAATATAGAAACTCCGCGTGGAAAATTACCGAATCCACATGGAGATTCGGTAATCCACGTGGAAAATACAAAATCCACGTGGACTTTCACTGAACCCACATGGAAATGAGGATTTACACGTGGAAAGATTCAGAACCCATGTCGATACACATGGGAACACGTGGGAATATGTAGAATCCAGGTGGAAACACGTCGAAAACGCAGCATCCACGTGGATTTGCACATGGTTTTTTCAGCTGGGAGGCGCGCGGGATATCGGCCTTTATTCCTAGGACGCATCGTTCTATGTTAAGTCTTATGTTATTTTGTATTTCTTTCGCCGTCAAGTTTTTATAATTTGTTCAAGGAAAGAATGGCGTCAAAATTGAATAAAAAGGGGGGGGGGGGATGCTATAATTTTATGCTTGAACCGCCCAATCGTCCGAGGGTGACGGGACTTGGCTCACTCTGATCTGAGAAATTTGTACTTTTCAAATATCACATCTGCAGAATTTGAATTACCCTTCTTATCTCCAAATCTTAGATCGAAAACGCGGCCCGCCTCCAGAGTGCAGGATAGGTAACCCGCACTACTCGCACCGCCCAATTCACCTACAAATTTGAACGAAACCATTTCCTTTAGTACTTAATTAATTTGTACTCTTACCCTGACCCAACTTTAGATTTATTTTTAGTATTTTTTATTTTGGGATAGAGGATCAAAGATGACAGCGTCGACCGCCAAATTGATTTCCTCTAAGTTGCAAGGGCGACAAAACTGGCCTCGGGCAGCTGCAGGCCTCGCGCAGCTGAAAACTTCGCGCTGTTGCAAACGATATAAATCGACGTAGCGCAGTCGCAGACAGGGTGCAGTTGCTGACCGCACGCAGTTACAAACCACGCGCAGCTGGAAGTGTCAACAAGTACCTTGCGCAGTTTCAAACCTCTTACGCGCCGAACGTCTCATTCAAACAATATGGGGCATATATCGTTGTGCATACGACTCAAACCTCTTACGCGCCGAACGTCTTTAAATCGAACTACTGTTGGGATGTTCGCACAAATTGGCTGGGACGACTCACCTGCATTTTCACTGTGACAAATAGTCACTTACAGCAAAATTTTCCTTGACAAAAAATCTAACATAACAATTTGTAATTGCCAAAATACATGCAGTACGTATCGACTTAAAATGTATTAGCGTAAAAAATGTATTCTCGTAAATTTACAACTTAAATTATAATTTAAGTTAACTAAAATTTTGTAAATTTACGATGATATTTTTCTCAGTGTTCTGGAGAAACAACAATACAAACCCTGCTCAAATGAGCGCAGTTTAAAGCGTATTGTTAGTCACCTTTTGCAACGGGTATCCAGTAAATAATTTTCTTTGTGCTATATATCGGCATGGCTAGTAATACCGCAATACCTCGGCTTTCTGCCGTATCCATTTGTTCACAGGTGAGTCAACGTCCTGGAGCATGGTGAGAAGAACGCCAGCGTTTACGATGAAAGCGTACGCCGGCAAGATGGCCCAGCATATTAGCCGGGAATGTCGCACTTCTCGCCGGAGTGCATCCTGCAGTGACAGAGGTTAAGCGTACATTTAAAATGGTAAATGACAAACGTGTTCTTAAACACGTCTCAATTAGGTGCAAATTTGTATCTGTAAAGGGAAAAGTTATATAAGCGTGCCTAGTTACGGAAAAC